TCTCTCACTTCATGCCGAGATTTAGAGAGAGCCATGAGTTAAACCACGTCAAAAAGTGAAAAATTGTAGTGATAGTTAGATCACTCCGAGAGAGAGAGAGAGAGAGAGAGAGAGAGAGAGAGAGAGAGAGAGAGAGAGAGAGAGAGAGAGAGAGAGAGAGAGAGAAATAAGATAGTAGTACAACTCTATACAGGTATGCTCATGAACCGCTCAACCCCAATGTTCGTCGGTGAGCTGTTTATTCCTGCCCTTGTCTGCACCGCACGTACGCCTACGTGAGCGATATCTTCATGCGCGCATGCGTGTGTTTTATGACGGCCATGATTGCGCACTTGGTGGGGGTAAAACTGAAGATTCGACAGTTTTATCACAACCATAAACTAGATGCTTTTGCTGTTGTTGTTCTTGAAGTTGTTGAGTTGCGTTTTACGGCGAGACAGAACGAGAATGGCTCTATTTCACCCAGAACAGCAGGGGAGTGTTGGATCGGAGTGCACCTGACCACGATACCGGTTGTTCACAGTAGTTTACTTTGTAACGTCTTCTGCTATTGTTAACGACCAAGACAAATTTCTCCAACCGTGATTTATAAAGATTGTCATTGTCATTGTAAATGGGAAGAAGCCACATAATTAATCGAGGGAAAGAAAAGAGGGAGGTCCTTCCAGTGACGTCCTCCAACCGCTCACAGGAACGTAGGGGGACAGTGGTCTGATTGAGTATGTGTAAAAGTTAGAGAATACTACAGAAGATCACACGCCAACCACACATGGACTGACAGGCAGATAGATCTAGAGGTGTACGATAAAGACGAACGAATACTGTAAGCTTTTCGCTCAGAGTAGGGTTGCTATACTTTGTAGGACTGTAGGATAAGAAAGCGATGATACGAAAAGGACGGAGATCCATAATTTGTTCTTCTTGTTATTGTTCTTTTTGTTTTTCTTGTTTTTGTTCTGCCTCGTCTCATCCTCCTCCTCCCCCTCCTCCTCCTCCTCCTCAAGTTCTTGTTTTTTATCTTGTTTTCTTCTTCTTCTTCTTCTTCTTCTTCTTCTTCTTCTTCTTCTTCTTCTTCTTCTAATATAATAAATACAGGAACGCGAAGGACGGAGGGAAGATAAGAATGTTTACGTTGAAATAATTACGTGTACAAAAATGCGCACAAAAACCCCCCAAAACAAAACATTGTGACCAGAAGATGACTTTGGATCCACCTCGATAGGGGGTACCTGTTATTCTTGCTATAAATAGCCGCATCCAGGAATGTCAATGGTGAGCACTAGCGCCCATTATATCATGGAATTGCACGCCTGTGTTGTTTTATTCTTGGCCTTACCACAATGCCCGGCGGCTACGGTGTCAGGACAGGGGTGTGTTCACATGACAGAACAGGAGTGCGTTCACACAGCTTGTATAAACAGTACACTCGTTTAGTGATCGTGGAGGAAAGTTCTTAAACGTAGAACATATGTAGATGTTTTTCTCAAGTAAATCCATTAGACCAAGTCATAAAACTTATATTCACACGTTTTAATGTTGTTTTTCTTGTTTTTTAAGTTATGATCAAACAAAAAGAATTCAAACAAATTTCAGCAGAAATCAACGTGAACGACGAAGTGTCTTTTTTCCCAAAGAGGCTGGGAGTTCTTTTTGAACCTATTAAAAAAACCGGTTAGCCAGATGGCGTATTATATTTCCAGAAACTGACTGAATTTTCAGACACCAATATATTCATTTCAAGCATAACAGTTAACAGGTAGATCACAGCAGTTGCCAAACCCCCCAAAACATTTTGGCATTAAGTGATAAACTATACACAACCAAATCAAAGGCAAAGAAAATTTAGGG